TGTTTTTTTGTATTTGTTTATATTTTTGCATATATATATATATATATGTATATAAGCCTTATTAATCTGTTAATTTTTAACGATATTTATCACTTCACATAACGAAAAAATAGTAATAATATCACATAATGACTCATAAACTGTATTCATACCTAAAAAGTGATTTTGGAATAAACACATACTAAAACTAAACTCAGCTGCGCGACAGTCCTTAGAAGGCCAAGGCCTACTGTGTCCATCTCAGTTTTCTTGACCTTGGGCTCTGGGGTGCAGGAGCAGATGTTCCGGTCAGATGATCAGCCGTGCGCGGAACTCCCAGTGTTTAGTTCCCAAGCATGCTTGGTACTCATTCATCGACCCACTGAAGGGATGAAAGGCTGAGTCAACCTTGCCCGACCCGAGGGTCGCACCAGGGACCTGTGGCACGAAAGCGCGAAGAGCTACCGCTCAACCACCGGGCGTCATAAACACATACTGCTAGTGTTAAAAAACTATTTCCTATTCTATGTAAAGAACAATGAGATTAAAATCTGTCCTTCTATTTAAAAAAAAAATGGAAATCTTTAGCAGAAATTGGATAAGCATTACAAGGGCTTCAGCAGAATTTAATATTTTATGAAACAATAATTATTTTTATTCAACACTCTTTTCGCTTTATTGCATGTAATTTTCTTTCAAAACAATGTTCGTGAACACATTTTTTTACTAGAAGGTCGTCCACTTCCTCATAACCACAGGCAGAAGACTTATCCAAATGGAACACTCGTTATCGAAGATTTGCAGCGAGCTCATGATAGTGGAAAGTACCATTGTGTTGCTGAAAATAATAGGAGTAGGACAGCAAGGAGAGAAGTCTCCCTAAATATTATGGGTAAGGACAGTATTTTATTTTGAAGTATAACCAAGAAATGAGATCTTATCTAAGTAAGCGAATAAAAATTTTTCTGCTGCACTGTAAAAAGTTTCGGTATACAGTTGCCAATATTTTCAGTGTTAAGATAAACTAACTATGCTTTTAACTGCAAAACTGTAATTATCGTGCAAAAGATATTTTAAGAGAGACAAAATAAAAATAAAAATTAATGAATTGGTGCAAATAAATAAATGAAAATGTGCTTGCTTTTAAGCGAACTCTTTTCGGCAACACAACCATAAGTTGATTCAGATGCACTTAAAAATGCATATTTTCAGCAAACTAACAAAAATTGAACTATAAATATTTGAACATATAACAGTGAAAATGTAAAGTAAAAAAAATTTAGTTCACCTCAACTCCAAAAATTTTGACAAATATACACCATATTCCTTTGCAGTTTAGGAACATCTTTGCTTGTTAGATTACAAATAAATATCTTTTATGCTTTTATTGTAATCCAGAATTTCTGAGGTGCAACAGCGAAACACTTACTGTAAATCCAACTATAATTTCCTTTCGCTTTCGTATCTCAGACTACAAATATTACCAACTCAAGTTTCATAGTTTTAATAAATCTAACCATTCTTTTTAACATTTAACAATACATTTATTAACAGTAAAAGTATACTTAATGTAAAGCTTTTTCTATCTATATATTCTCACGAATACAAACATATAGCTTGTAAAAGATATCATTTTTAATGTTTTATCTATATCGTGTCGCAAATGAATATCTTAAAAACAAATGAAGAAACAAGATCCTTGGTGCAATCTATTTCTGCTTCAACCAATATTTTCAATAACTCTGGATAAAAAAATAGAACGTATTTCAATAAAAAACATCCTGATTAGATTTATTCTAAAGTGATTCAAACGAATCATTATAGAAAAAAAAGTATTGTGTCAATTGACTGTCTTTTCATATTAGCTCGAAAATTCTTCTGAACTTTAAAATAGAACTGGAATTAATGAATTTTCTTACTTTATATGAATTTTTACATAGTATTATTACTTTATTTCTGCCTTTACATGTATGTATTATCTTTACATAGTTTTTGCTAATATCATTGAACTAATCATGAGAATCTTAAGAACAACTGACATCTGAACAAGGTTTAACTGAAATACGTCCCATCTTAGTGAATTCGGTCATATATTTGAATCAGAACTTTTCGTACCTTTAGGAAACTAAGTTTAAAGAAATGAAAACATAATTTCCCGTAATTTAATCATTGATATCAATTCATCACTGGTAATAAGAAGGTATAGGTAAAGATATAGATATAGATAAAGATTATGTAGATTTTATAGATAAAGACTACATAGATAATATAGGTAAAGATTACTAAATTATTTTGAAAGTCTCAGATAGTCGAAGTATTCAGATAAACTGAAAAAAAAATCCGGATCAAATTAGTGTAAAAAATGCTAGCATCCTAATTCATGCCTCCTTAAAATCAATTTCCCGAGAAATTCCTTTTACTGTTAGTTATTATGTAATTCTAATTCATGAAAAAATTCATATTCATCAAGTTTATAATCATTAATTCATCAAAATTCATATTTGCAGTAAAGCATTTACGTAATTATATGAATTCAATAATTAATAATCTAAAAATTACAACAAATTATATTTTATGTCCCTAAAAATTATATGGTTAAAGTGGACTTTACGGTACAAAGTACTCGCACTCTGAATATAAATAATGACACCATAAGAATTTCTAGAAACGAGTATTCAGCTACACTGTAAAGAAACTGGAATCAAATTACTTTAACAATATTGGCACCCTGATTTCAGCACGAGTATAATCTACTTCACTGTAAAATCTATTTTAACCGTAACTTTTTCAGTAATATTCACATAATTAAACTTATTTAGTAAGCAATACTTTAACAATTACGGCTTATCCAATTTTTTTGTCCCTTAAAATTTTATTGTAAAAATGGATTTCACAGTAGAAAGTAATGGAACCCTGAATACCAGAATTTTTTAACGTAATTTGATCCACATTTTTTTTACAAAGTAGTTCGTTATAAATTTGAAATATCCTATTAGTATATTTTCATATTATGCACTCCGCACATCCCTCACATTAAATCATTGCGAAATTATTATCATTCCCAAATAAATATAAATTATGTTTTCTTCCAGCACCACCAGTAGTAGAACCATTCTCATTTCCACTCGCATTATCGGAAGGTAAACGAGCGACTGTTACCTGTGTTGTTTCATCAGGCGATCTTCCAATTCGCATTTCATGGATGAAAGACGACCATCCCTTACCAGATGAATTACGAGGATCAATCAGCACCGTAAATGAGTTTACATCTACATTGTCATTCAGTAGCGTGTCTCAAATACACAACGGAAACTATACTTGTATAGCTTCAAATCCTGTCTCATCACGGAACTTCACAGCACATATGATCGTTAAAGGTAAATTGATTTTGCTTAATTTAAATTACTTTTTAGGCTATGTGTATAGTTCACACAAAAAAGTAGAACATCCTGATTACCTTTTGATCTAATGAACAGATTTTTATATACTAAAACTGAATCTTAGTGTTCGAAGGTATAATATTTAAGTACCTTAATTAATTATCGCAGACTGTAATTGTAGCTTTGAAATAGGATACAAAAACGTACTTTCTCTGAATAAACATACCTTTTCTTTCAACAGATTTGGATTCCTGGCCTTCAAGAGATGGGGTTAACCGCAATCTAGAAAATATGGCTTTCACAGTTTCGTCTGGAGATCCATTGAAAATTTGGATCCCTTAATGTTTATTTTGCTTTTTGCATATTTCGTCATATCTCGAGAACTTTTTAAGCGAATTAAAAACAAAATTGCCTTATAAATAAAATTCATTTATCTAGATATAATTTCATGCAAAATAAAGTCTTCATTAATAATTTATTATTTTTAATCATTTAATTTACTACCTGTCGAACAAAGTTTGAATTGCCAAGTACATAAATTTTTATATAATTTCAGAGAATGTGATTTGGCGAAGTAAAAAATTTGAGTGAAATTGAACAAATAGATCGTGAGAAATAAAATTTTAAATAGTCAAATATTTAACCTTTAGAACCTTTAAGATTGAATGCTAGTACGTGAAGATCCGTTCATTTGATTAAAAGTTTTTCTGTTCCGTTTTTATATTCATTATTTATTTATTTATTGTATTATATTACTTCCAACTACTTTGTTTTAAAAAGCATTTGCAGTCTGAACTGCGTCAGATTGCACTCGTATGGATTGCATTCCAGAAATATTTTATTTTTTCAACTCTTATCTGAACATTTCTGAAAATTAAAATTTATTTCTAACCTTTATAATTACACGTTAAAGATCCTTGCCTACCTAGAAATGAGCAGATAAATTTGATTTTAAGTTCAAATATAATAAAAAAGTTTTAAAATGTTAGAAATGGCATATTTTGAATAATTTTAACATTATGCAGCATATTTAATGGTATTATTTTTAATTTATATTGAAAAATTGCCTTATTTTAGGAAAAATAATGAAATCATAACCCATTGTTATTTGGTACCCATTGTATACAATGAAACAGAAGTTAGTAAAGAAACCATTTAATATTTTTCCCAAATATTTGGGCATGACGATCATCTTCGTTTTCTGCCGGCAGAAATAACGTTGATGGCTTTTATTACTTCAAGTTTTAAAATGATTAGGAGGGATGGGGCAAGTGGGCATTTTTGTTGTAGCAATCTCTTTTCTTTGACTAAGCTCAAAAAGGAGGACCAAAATCGAGAAACTTGTAAAGAGTTACACTCCTTAAAATAAAATAAAAAAATAAATCAGGAAAATTTACAAATTTAGCCAAATAAAAGTTGACAAAACTAAAATTGGCCATATTCAAGAAATTGCTCGTGTTTTTTAAAATCGGCGTATTTTAGGAAACACATGCCCAATAAAAAATGTACGTAATGAAAAAATTTACTCTATGAGAGAAATTTCTAGCATTATGAACGTTATTAAAACATCCTTAGTTACGTATAGTACACAAGAAGCAGACATTTTCTTCAGTTGGCATTAATATGTAATAGTATTCCTTGAGCTTGTACTAAAATATCTTTTTTTTTTAAAAGTGCAAGGTAGTTGCAGGTTTCCTAGTTTGTGAGATTTCTCTGTAAATTACCATTATTGTAGCAACTATTGAAATTCTATTTGCCTATAAAGATTAAACCCGCTTTTAGTATGCAAAAAGATTTCAGCTGTTAGATTTCTTTCTGTTTTGTTTAATTTCTTTGTTTCAAAAGATTTTTAAAGTGCGTAATTTTTAATGGGGATAGCTGTTTATTGAATCTTAGTCAATTTCCCAGCTATGAAATACAAATTAGAGTTTTTCTCAAAATTTACCCTCTCTCAAACGATTGGACAAGCTAGTTATTTCTAAACCATTTGCAAGCTTATATCTCGAAGCAATCAGAATAAAAACAATTGACAATTGCGTAAACCATTTCGGGGGTTGAAAAACAATATCAAGAGGGAAATGAATTTTCTTTGCGAAAAAAATGCACAGTGCCAATTTAGTCAGGCTCGTGATCGAATAAAATAAACATAAAGATGGTGTAGAAACATTTTGCTAAATCCCTGTAATACACTTAAATATCTATATCGGTTATATCTATAGCCTTTAGCTGACCCAAAAAGTCGTTCTAGATAATCCTTGCTTTTATACGCTATTATACACTAAGTGGTTAATTATGACCACCTGATAGTCTCCTGCAAATTGAACTATTGCGGCACAGTGTCACCTCTAGAGGTCGAAATAGCTACAAAAAGGGAATGCAAGACAAATAACCATCAATTACTTTATGTTACGAGCTGAAATATAGATAAAAAACGTGACTTAACTAAGTTTGAAAACGGGATGATTGCAGGCGCTCTAGCATTGGAACCAATATCAGCAAAACTGCTACTTTTGTGAAGTGTTCTAGAGTAGCAGTTATTAATGTGAACAGAGAGGGGACTACCAAGCTGAAACTCAACGTCTGTCTTGTAGTCTTCACAAGCTAATGAATGCTCGATTTAAAATGAGACTTGCCAGAGTTGTCCAGTCTAACAGAACAGCAGTAGTGCATTAAATAGAGAGGACTTTTTATGAAGGTGCAACTGCAAACGTCTCTGAACGAACTGCGCTCCACACATTACACCTTATAACTTATGGGACCCAACACCCTGTTCGAAAACCTTTGCTGTCAGACTTGAACAAAAGCAGGCGTCTCCAGTTTGCAATGGAGCATAAGGATTGAACAGTAGATGACTGGAAAAGGGTCATGTGATCTGATGAATCGCATTTTCAATCACGCCATGCAGATTGTAGGTTTCGGATATGTCGAAAATAGCATCAAAGTATGGACCCCAACTGCATCGCCACAACACTTTTAGCTGATGGAGGCAATATAAGGTTTGAGGGATGTTTTCTCGCATTGAATGGGTCATTTGATTCCTGTGGAACAACGCACCTGGGGATAGATACTTTCAGAAAGACAATGTTCCTGCCATGCAGCTCGTATTTTTGTCAGATGGTTAGAACAACATGATGGTGACTTTACCTTGCTTCGTTGGCGCAATTACCAGTTCTCAAACCAATTGCGAATTTTTAGAATGAGACAGAATGAGGCATTAAACAGCTGGACCCAGTGCCATCCAATCTGATGGTGCAGCTCATCGGATAAGTGCAGCTCATCGGATATCTCATAGAACTTATGACAAAACAATTCGAGCAGTATTATGCGTTAAAGGTGGTCCAGCAGAGTGTTGAGGGGTGATTATAATAATTTGGCAACTCAGTGTATATTCTAACAAAATTTTACTTCTGAAAATTTCAAAAATGTATGATATTATTAATTCTATTGAATCAAAAAATTATATAACTAAGAGTTCTGTATATTATATGCGAATAAAAGTTTGTGCACCAGGTTTTGATCAAAATGTCAATTGAAAGTGGTTCAATAATAATTTAAAATAAAACTAAATAAAAAAGTGTATACATAAAAATATACTAAACTAAGTGTAATTTAATTTTTAGTTATTTAATTAAATGTATTTTATCATGGAGAAAATAATTTGGTAAAATTACCGTACTGCATGGTTGAAAAACAATATCAAGAAATCATTTCTGGTAAAAAAAAAGGCAAACAAACAAAATTCTGGAAACCAAAACAAATGCCCATGCTGTTTAAACCCTTTATTTGTTTTTGCTCACATGGTTATGATTTACTAAATTATCTTGTTTTCAAAAAAATGTAGCACTTAACTACACATTTAGTAAAATAACATGAAAAATTAACCAAAAATTAATCAAATTGCATCATAAATTATAAAACTTTGCCTTATTATTTTATCTAACTCAATTCATTTATCTAACTTAATTTTACCAAATTCCTTGCCAAAGTACTTTAATAAAAATTACATAGAGCCTTTTTGGTATTCCCCTCGAGTCAGAATTAGGGTAAATTTTACCATATCCTGTTAAATTTTACTATATTTTTTTGACTATGGTAAAATATTAATTAAAAATTGTTATTTAACCATTTTTACGAGAAATTTCTGGCAGTGTATTTGAAAATAAAGGAATAATTGAATTTATAGAAGAATGAATTATTTTTAAGTTCACAAAACTGTTAAGGGATTGGGTTATTGATTCCGTAATACTGTTAGCTGATTTACACACAGATCACAGATTATTTCTTTGCTAGAATTGTAAGAAACAACATAGTAACAGAAAAAAACATTATTAGTAAATAATATAACAAAATATATCATAATAGAGTCATAGTGTTCCTCCAAGCAATATGCTTGACATAAGGTAAAATTATGTTTAACAATTGAAAAAAAAAGTGTTAGCTAACAAGTTTGCATTTAGATTGCAAATATTTTTTTTCTGTTTTATAAAATCATCATATATAATATTAATACAGTTTCCTTTCAGATAGAGGGAAAAAAAGAAAATATTCGTTTATTTTCTTTCAAGAAACAGAAATTTAAACTCTGTCAAAATGATGGCGACACTCCAGTAAACTCGATCTCAGTTTTAAAGGAGAAACAATACTTTTATTTTTCGCTCCGTTAAAATTATTATTCGAAGAAAACATGAATTTAAATTAAGTTATTACCTATAAAAAATCATCCATCTTTTTAGCATTACAAAAAATTCTATTTCAAGAAAATTAGGTAATATAAAAGTTGATGAATCGTATTTTTCAAAATATTGCTTTATTAAAGTTAGAAAGCTGTTGAATATTTTCTTAGTTTATAATAATAATGCTTTGGACTATTATGTCATTAAAAATCGTAAAACGAGAAATAAAAACCAGTTATAAAGTTTCAGTAATTTTTTTTCACTTTATTATTATAAAAAGTTACAAAACATTTGAATAGTTTTGATCATATTTTTCCTATGGATTTAAACTATTACAATTTATGCTTCAAATCACACATTGTATTATATTACAAGTTTAGTAAATGCAGACTATCAATTCACTGATTATAAATTGCTTTTCACTGATCAAAATAATACAGTCAGTTTATATTAGAGTTCAAATTTTCTCCCCCCTTAAAGGAAATAAGTGATACATTTGTTTTTGAAAGTAATAAGTTATTACGCTAATTTATAAATGTAACTAAGAATATGTTTAACAATGCTCTTCGTAATATAATACTCAATTAAAACAATTTAATTGAGTATTATAATACGAAGAGCGATCTGTATAGTTAAATGTTTAACAATGATATCTACTGAGATTAATGCAATTATAAGGGCGATGCGCTGTTATTCTGTTATGGGAATCTGGTAATATTTTAACCAATTCAAAAACTCATCGTCCCAAAGATAAATCAATGTAATGTAAAGTGCGAAAAAAAATAGACCACCTTGAATAACTGATGATCTAACGATCGGATATTCACGTTCTCTGACTTAATCTTAATGGTTTGAGGGGTGAGCTTAAATATGTTAATTTATTAGCGCAGACGATACTTTAAGTTCTGAAATCGAGCACGAAAATGCACTTTCTCTAAATAAATATACCTTTTTCTTGATAAGTTGTTTTTTTTAATCCCAAAATATAGAGGGAAAGCCATAATCTGTAAAATTTTGTGCAACTAGTTTTAAAAAGAAAAAAGTTGAAATTTAGGCTCCTTAAGGTAAATTTCAATATTTGCGTATTTTGTTATGGGAGTCTAGTAATTTTTGGCACAATTCTAAATCTCGTTGACCAAAAGATAAATCAAAGTATTTTTAAGTGCCCCCAAAAAATATTAAAAACAAAATAAGCAAAAAAACCGACTATCCTGAATTACTTATGATCTAATAATCGAATCTTCCCGTCCTGGGACTCAAATCTTAATTGCTTGAGGTGATGATCTCAAATGTGCTAATTAATTAGTGCAGACGATATTTTAAGTTCCGTAATCATACAAAAATCGTACTTTCTCTAAGTATTACCTTTTTCGGTGGATTCGCATTTCTGACCCCCCAAATAAAGAAGACAGCAGTAATCTGGGAAATATGGTCCACTTAATTTGACGAGGAAAGCGATACAAAATTTGGACAACTTAATATGAATTTTCCTTTCCAAAGAAATTGCCATTTAAGAAGTAAATTCTAGTTAATATAGCTAAAATTGGAAAAACTAGGTAGGTGACATTTTCATAGAGACTATAATTAGGGTAAGAGAAAAAAGAGTGGATGGATTCCGAACTATTTTATTACCAATTTATTAGAAGACGGAACTAATAATTCTTAGTTTTATTTCATTTTCCACTGCCTAATTTGAAGCTGAAAATCATGTATACATACTAAAGTTATTAGTTACGCTAAGATTAAAGTGAAAGCAAAAACAATTTTGTTACATTAAACAAACCTATTTTGATGCAACCAAATTTTCCATGATTCATAAAAACCTCTAAAATGTCACTTGCCTACTTCCTTCCCTAAAATCTTCACTTTTGTCGGCATATGCCTTTCATTTTTGTGCATGACTTTGTAGCATTATTCAGTGCTGATAAATAATTTTTTATTCACTGCGTACGATGAAGAGATATTCAGCTAGTTAAGTAATAAAAAAACTGCAAATTAAATTCAAAAGTTATCTTTCTCGTAGAAATATCTTTGAATACTGGAGCTTCAATATTGTGTTTGAAAATTTTTTAATTCGAATTGATAGTTACAGAGAAATGATGAAAAATTGTCTTTAAGAGGCTCTCTGTATTTTTCTACATGAAATTTCAGGACCATATTTTTTATACTACTACCCTGCATTTTCTTGTTTAGGATCTAAATACATCCGAAAAAAATGCATAATTATTCAGTTTAAAAAAGCTTTTTTTTTACATTTGCTTTCCTAATTTAAAATAATTAATAACTTCATAACTAACTGAATAACACTGGGATTTATTTTATATTCACTTTTTTTTTATTTTGCATGAGATTTTTTAATATATCTTAGATACTTTTAATTCTAAAGCTGCAATCTATTTCTCTTTCAAACAGTTTTTTTAAACATTTTTCGTCTATTTTTTTATGAATTGTTACAATAAATTTCCCGAAGAATTAAGCCACATAATCAGCATTAAAATTGCTCTCACTTACTATGAACTGTTTCTTTGCACGATTTTGATTAGGTAATAATGAGGAAGCCCTTTAATCGCGCAAGACGACAGTTCCGACGGTGTTTTCCTATGCAAAATTAATCCAAACGATGTACCCTAACTTTCCTAGAAGTTTGTCGCAACTCTTATACAACCCCCTGTTATATGAAAATATTTACCCCGACCTGCCCCAATTGAGGGCATACGGGTATACCCCCTGTTATATATAACGTTTTTAAACTTGGTAAGAAATAGATAAACTTGTTAAAAAATGGACTAAAAATGTCATTAAAAAACGGTATTTTTACAAGCAAAATTGGTTAAAGATTTTAAATTCCCACTCTTGAATTAGGAAATATCAAGTACTTGCATAAATGCAACAAAGATTTGTAAACCAATGTAATGATCATAGCTAAAGTTAGTCTCTCAAATTAAGTTTGTTTCCTAGTACCTGAAACTTTTTTGTTTATGTTGCACTTTATTTTTTAATACTTTATATTATTGTAGCCATATTTCTCCATTACTAATTAACATAAGCTAAATATTAAAAAATTTAAAATTTGAACAGTTTACTTAGTTGATCTCTAAAGTAAATGCTGTTAAATTGGCTGATATTTTAAATCGAAAAGTTTCCAAATCAACCTTAAATGGCTCTACATATGTTAAACATATCAAAACAATAATACGAAATTATTTTTCCAATCACTTACACAAATTATACTTAGAGTGATAAAGCATTACGCGATTCTTTTGAAATTAACATAAGCGAATATTAAAAAGGAAAATCAACAAAACTTTAAATGCAAATTTTAATCAGTGTGTAAATTTTAAGAAAGACATATTGTCCATCTTCTTCCAAAGTAACACCTGAAATATTTGTTATATTATCTAATTACTCCTGCTTATAAAAGAAATTTGATTTATTTAAAACATGCATGTTCATCATTAGTTTATAAAATAAATATTCAGCACACTAACTGTATAAATACAAAATCGAATTTTCCTTACATTTTATTAAGTTAGTCGAGTTTGTATATCACTAGTTAGGAACGAACTCTGCAAATACATTTCATCTAATTTGATTTTAACGTTAGGTCTTGTAAGCTCGAATTGTGAAGTTGACGAGAATCAGATTTTAATAATTAAGTTAGCAGCAGTGGCTGATATGTCTCATTTATCTATCTTAAATGTTGTCGACACAGAACTTTTTTGTTTCCTATTCGAGAAAGCCCAGAAGGAGAAAGACAAACAGGAATAGAATAAATAATTTTCTAGAATAAATCAATTTCTAAATAAAATTCTAATAGAATCATGTTCTAATATTCTCTCAATTTAATCATTTTTCCACACTGTTGTTTACATTTTTAACAAAACATGATCCTAATGCGTAAATATTCTGATGTTTCTTACATAAGTTTAATTATAATAGTCTTTTCATTATTGCATTAATCTTAACTAATTAAGGGTATTATTATTAATAAAAATTCTAATTAGTCATGATAAATATTGTGAAAATAATTAAAAATAATTCATAAATTAATTTAGTTTCTTCTTATATTAGTTCATGCAACTAAAAAACTAATGACACCAACAGAAATTTTTAAATAAAATGTGTTGTTCAGTAAAACATTAACGAATTTATATAGCTTAGTTTGCTACAATTGGGTATTTATAATTTGAGAAGAAGTAAAATTATTTTGCCTAACCACGTGATTTAAATCAGATATAACTGGATATCTGAAAGCGATATCACGCTTGTGCGTTGAACCCTATTTGCTACTAAGGAGACAAATGCCACGATTTACTTTCGATGACGTCACTTGAAAGTATTCAATTAAAAGCCATAGCACACAATTAGTTTTAATTAGCATAACCTAATCTAAAGATATCTGACGTATCGAATTAAGATATGTTATTAGTAGAAAATATTTAACGTGTGTCTTGATGATTGAAAGTGTAATTGCAATAAAGTAATTTTACTACCTAGTTAAACAACGTGAAAAAAAGCTCGAAAACCGTGTGCAAAAATGGATATAATATAATTTCAGCTTTTTTTAAAAAAAATTTTTTTAAGTGTTTAAGCAACAAATGACATTAAAAGAATAAAGATATTCACGTATGTAAAGTGGTTCATTACTCAGGACTGAGGAACACGTTTGAATAAGATAATAAAAAGAAGGGAGATATGTTAGTACCTCAGTATCTAAACGCCATAAGTGGTGATAACACATCAGTGTCTAAACCCTAAAAATGATGTTAACACCTCAGTGTCTAAACCCTAAAAATGGTGTTAACATCTCCGTATCTAAACACCAAATGGCATATTTTAAACACTGAGGAAGATTCTTGTCTACAAATCTGAAACTATAATGTGACCATTTCTGTGCTTGATTTTTTCTTTGCTCACGGCGTTTTTCATTTTTGTCTATGCAGTACAAAGCATACCCTATCCTTTCGGGTATTCTGTTATTAAAGTACTTTTAATTATTATGGAATATTAATAACGATTTTTATTAATATATAATTCTATTAATACATACACTAAGCTTTTTACTTCGAATTTCAGTCCCTCCTAAATGGAAAACAGAACCATCTGATAAATCCGTAATTATGGGTCAGGCAGCCATGTTTGATTGCCAGGCTACTGGTTATCCTGATCCAGTTATTCGTTGGAAAAAGTCAATAGGTAAGTTTTCTGAAATTATTAGTTTATTTATGCTAAATTCTTTTTAAAATACACTAATTATCTACAGTTACCTAAAAAATAACTGGTACTGCCATCTGGTGTGTAAAATGAGAAATAAAATGCTTTCTTGGCAAAAGAAATGAATTAGTTTTATTCTTTTTGGCGCGTTACTACTGAACAGTCCTGCTCGGAAATATCACGGGAGCGAGAAATAGAGGGCAAAACCTCGCCCCCTCATTTTCATGGGAGCGAGAAAGAAGGGGTTAATTCATACCATGCTTGCTTATGAGAGAATGATGGGATAAGTTTTGATGAACAAATCGGTATTAGGAATACCGAGCAACGTATTTAAACCTTAAAAATATCAGTATGCATCAACCTTCAACCTTAAGAGTATCAGCAAGCTGAGCAATATGGTTCATATGCATTCGATCACATTTATTGAAAAACATAGTTTCTATAAAATAATTAACATATTTGCTGGATTGGAATGTGTGAATTATTGCTCATTACACGGTTGCTCAGTAATCTCTAATGCATGTGTGCGTTTTAAAGAAAACCTGCATTTAATATTCCATACACTAATGCAGTAGAATTTTATGAAGGTTCGTTGTTCAGTATACACTTGCGTGGAATTTCTTCTATTAGTGTCCTTTAAGATTGAAGGTCATTACCCGGTATTTTCTGCACTGATAGTTTTTCCAATTAATGTTACGTGTGAAATTCTCACCCGTGCAAGGGAAAGAAATTGCTGAATGAGGACACACGAGTGGCGAAATAAATGTGAAAACATTATAATAGTAGAAAAAAATGTCCTTTTCAATTTATTAATCATGAAATGACTTAATGTTTTGCCTTCGGCAAGTAAAACTTTACAAGACTAAGTTTAGCGAGAGGATTAAAAGAATTGAACAATGTTGTTTTTAACAAGCCTAAAGGAAAATTGGAGCACATTACTACCGTAATAATAACTTCTAGAAGTACCAAAAGTGATGACGAAAAAACAATAATAATTTTATTTTTTTAGTCCCTTCGAAAAACGTTGGTTATGGAAATTTTGTTTCATTAATTGCTTTTTATATATATCTACATTTTTTGCCATTGATTTTCTAAAAAAATAATGATAAAGAAAAAATATGTTATCCTTTACTTGTAAATATAATTTACTAATTCAAAAAGGATATTTAAGAGTATCTTTAATAAAATGGTTGTTTTTTGTTGAAACTTAAACAATCAACGAATAAATTAGAATCTATTTTTAACGAGAAAATTTTTTGAAATCTCTATTGCGTACTTCTACAAAATATCTAAGCAAACAATGTTAAATTTCTTTTCAAATGGCTTTAACTTTATGTAAAACATTTTCTAGAACCATGGCAAAATCTAATTAACATTTGAATTAACTCCCAGAGCCGTTTAAAGAATAAAAGAATAAAAAAGGAACCATATTTCAATAAACTACAAAAGCGGTCAATGTTACTTTATAAATGGTTTTGAAGAGAATTAGCTCTAGGAAGACTAGTACAACAAAGCTGTAATAAGTGTCGGCGTAAAACTAATAATTTGGCTTCATCACTTCTGCTTGTTAAGTAATTATATTTTGGCGCAAATTGTGCCCACAAATTAGCATTTTTCAGTGTTGCTGACGTAAACATCATTAGAATTCTTGTTATTGTTGCCAACTTGGCGAATGTTATCAATTCCGAATTTATTATCGAGTTTATTGTGACATATTAAATCTCTTTTGTTATGGTAATGGCCATATGCTTTGCTAAATGGATTAAGCTTTTATGGAAAGCATTATCTAAATTTACTGTAATGATCAAAGCACTTAATTGTCAAAACTGAACTACAAAAGTAGGGCAAAGAAAATTAAAACAGATATTGATTAAGAAATTTGTATTGTTGGTCGATTTTATTGTATAGAATAGGGCTATTTTCCTGAAATTTTTGAGAAGTAAACTTTATTTTATATCAATTGTAAAATGCATTATCTTCATACATCGTTTGTTTTTTGTTGTGAAAAAGGATGATATCTCTCCATTTATGTTCTTATCACTTGAGCCATATTATTTAGTTCGATGCACTGTTGCCTTATAGAAACAAGTAAACACTGCACAACTTAATTAAGAGCCTCTTATAATTTAATTAGAGATTTTACTTATATTAACAAAAAGTCTTTACTTCATTAGTATTTTTCATCAAAATACATTTATTGTTAATTTTTTTCTCATAAGATGTTTGCATAGTCAAACAAATCAAATGAAAACCATGGCTACATTGTGTGAACATTAACATCAAAGCAATATTAAATTTGTGAAATAAATTTAAATGTATTAATATAGATTTGTAAAGTATAAACATTAGTTTCGTTATTAATTTTAAATTTAAATATGATTTATAAATAATTTTTGTCTCATTTGCTTTCGAAAAAATATTTACAATTATTAAACTTTTATTTCATTATCTTGAATCAAATTTTGGGATCGTCAGGCATTTTGTAAGTGACATGGTGCTTTAATCTTTTATTTGAATTCAGATTCTTCCGTGTTGGCTTCAAAAACTGAGATTCCTGGAATTTTCTCAATATTTTAAATTAAAATTAGATAAACGCTGAACCTAAAATACTAAATATTAAGAAGTTGAACTTATTTTTAAATTAATTATTAAAAACTCTAATTACCAAAAATGCCGTACCATGCAGGTATCACTTTTTACCTCCATGCATGCCTTTTGGCAGGTAATGCATAAAATGGCAGGTAATACATAAGTTTGTTAGGGTAGCGAATAGTGATATGATATAGCCATGTTAATTTTCTATAATAAAAACTTAGATAAGACTCTTTTTAGTCGGAAGGACGGTCGAAGCCTGAATGAACTTTAGGACACGCGGGGATCATATAAATGAAATTCATTATTACGCTTCGAAAAGTCTTTGTAATATTTATGAGAAATGTAACACTTTTGAGTCTTAGACGTTTGCTATTTATTTCTAAACTATTTGAAGTTTTATATCATTCTTTTTACGATGAAATTTAGTAACACATTGTAATGTTTCCTTTTCTGATAACTAATACATAAATCATTATATTACACTTGACATCATTGGTTTATGCAGACATATTTCTAGCTAGTAATATTTATTCATAGTTTGTTTTATCGGAGGCAATAGTTACGCTCTGAAATTATGCTTTTTTTGGAAAATAATGCACAAATCTTGCTAATTTCAGTAGTTCCAATTTCTTGAGCAAAACTTTCCTTCGAGGAAGCTTTTAATTCATATTTTGGTGATTCCAGACAAACATTGTTTAATATTTGAACTTGTAGTTCATGATTTAAACGCATATTAGCCGCATGTTTGTTGGAGTTGATCATAAATGATACAGCAGGGTCATTTATTTCCCTACTACGTGAGTTTCGCCGATTTTAATAGTGATGGATTAGTGGTTTTTTTGTTAGACAGAAAAACAGTTCTCGTACTTAATGTTTCAAAATTTGAATGAGTAGAAATCACTTCAATTAAGAACGAACAATAATTCACTGAACTCGGCAGTTACGTTCATTAAAATTCTTTGTAGAACAAGCTGAAAGACTCCCGGGGTTATTCTATGACCCCAGTAACTGATAAAACGTCTATTGGGAAAGAAAAATGTGTAAATTCTTTTTAATTACTTACAAAATTCTGATAGTTCGAAACACTCAGCTACTAATTAAAAACAAGTGAACAGGTGTCTATTTTTTTAGGAATCTGAAATTATAGAATGCATGGTGCCATAAAATAACCTCCGCATAAGCTTACGAATTAATTTTACTTAAAATGAGCAAAGGGTTTTATCTATAAATAATTAAACTTTGTTGAACAATTTTATTTTTCTATTAATGAGCTCTACATGTTCTCAGATACGTTTAATAATTTTCCCATCAATAATTACTACGGATTATGCCTCAAAATTGTTAAAACACTATGTCTGCGTAGTAATGTTTAGATGCAAAAAAGTAGCTTATTTAACAAAAAAAAGGAATTTTATGATTTAAAGCAATTAAGAAACTTTAAAATAACGTTTTAAAGAAAAATAATTTTTGCTGAAAAGTTACGGCTAGGAAGGAAGGTTATAAAATAAGAATACCAATATTGACAATTCAAAAATAACAATCTTAAATATACAAGTATCGAGTATGCCTATTACTGAAATTAATAATTATTTTAAGATCATAACAATTTCCGGTTATAAATTTCAAACTGCTGTTTATTTTATAAATAGTTATTTTTAAGTAAATAATATATTTTCAGCATTTTCGTAACTCTTTTATTTCTTTAATATCTAAAAGGAAATCTACCCAACATTTCCTTTTAAAAATAAAGCTTAGGAATACGAAAAAGAGATAATACGATTATATCTCGTCTGACATGAAGAATATGGTAATAGATTTGAAAAATATTTATAACTTGCGATACAATTTACTATAAAAAAGACTCCATTTATGCTATTTGCACAGTTCTTTAAAAATTGTTTATTTAAAGAAGCTGGAGAAATTGCTTATGAATAATTCACATCAAATAAAACTTGACTATTTCTATAAATTTTTATAAAAATCTATACACTTCATCTGCATTCAACGCAAGCAAAATATTTTTTTAGTCTCTTCTCCATGTTGAAGAAATAAATCTTTTTATAGCTTTGTAAACTTTAAGTGTTTAGGCTTTGCTTTTTTTTTTCTTACTTCAACTATACATTACTTTCAGTGATTCAAAATCAAGTGCACTCTTGTCTTTCAAAACCACTAAATAAAGCTTTTTTTCTTTATTTTTCCTATCTTTTTCTTTGCAGAGGGCTCTAAGAGTCAGTTTCAAGTGATCATTAGCAACGAAAATGTTCAAATCTTAGAGAATGGCTCTCTGATCATCAAAGAGTCAACCAAAGAGGACAGCGGACATTACATGTGCCAAGCTACTAATGACGTTGGTTCGGGACTTAGTACCGTCGTATTCCTCAAAGTACATGGTAAAGAACTTGACTTATATTCGGTATTTTGATTGGTGCATATTTTCTGAAGCAGAACTGATGCGTTTTATTAGTTCGAAGTTTTAGTTCCTTTTTTTTGGTTAAGCACTTTTTAAATCTATATTTCGTTTATGCTTTTTTCCCTTCTTTTTAAATTTGAAAGCAGGAATCATTTAAAAAGAACTGAATCATTGCGAAGGGCCATTTGAATTTTTATATTAATATGCTTATGATTTATAATACAGGCTTTAAGTTATTAATGTATCAGTTAGTTAGTTAAATTTGCGTGATATTTATCAGTTAGGGTAGCTTATTAATTAATAAGTAAAATGATTGTTATATTACTAGACCCGGAACAGTGATTAAGACTACCTATTTAGTACTAAACTCAAAGAATTTCTTGTATACCTTTTCTTTTCAATAAGATAAAAAAATTACAGCTTAAATGTTTCAGTTTTACTTTTTTTTCAGTAAAGCATAGCTATTTGTGTTCGCCAAAATATATTACTAACAGAAACCTTTCGTTCCAGATTTAACTATGTATTTGCATATTTTATACAGGCATTATTTAAAATTTAAAGTGATTGATTCATTAGGCATCATCAACTTAGATTAAATGCTGATTCCGCACCACTATTTTTTTTCCTGATCTGTGGGAAAACACAACGTCAGTTCGGAAGGGTTGAAAATATTTTTTTTAATTAAAAATATTATAATTAAAGTTCGATACGTTAATCTTATTCATTGTTGACAAAATTTTTACAGAGTTGTAAAAAATCGCAATACTATTACTGATATCAATGATGCTTTATTAGTTTTGGTTATTCATACTGTGTAAAAAATAAAAATAATGAAAAATTGGTACTAATTGGCTTAAGTGAATATAAAATAATCGAAAGAACATAATATTACTGATGCCAACGATGCCTAATTCATTTAAGTAATAGGTACTAATTGAAAAAAAAATAAAATATCGACTGTACAAAAAGTATAAAACAAAATAAATCGTGCAAAGGTGCAAATTCATTTATAGGAGAAATAAAAAAATCGTTATCATAAGTTTTGACTCATACGTAGCTTTTGACGCATACAGCTAGTAGTAAATAATAGCAATTTTAAAAACAATTTTCAGCATAATGATAGTTTTAAAAGAAGAAAAATGTCGAGAAACTAGCCGCGAAGCGATACACGTGAATACTATATCATGACTTTCTTCTGAGGCATGACACCTTTTCCCCCTTATTTTACTTGACAAGTTTAATGATTAACTAACTAAGTCAAGTCAGGTAAGTAAGTGTCAAGTTAATTAACTTAGACACTTATTTTGATTGTAAATAAAATAATAATTAGATTTTTTTAAAAATATTTCTTTTAAAAAAATTATGGAATAAAATGTAATGATGCTATTGAAACATTTGTTAATCTGTTAGATATGTATGCTGAATTTTTGAAGTCTAATAGGATAGTATAGTAAATGAAAAATCCCAAGAAAATGAAGCAGAAAGAAAAACTTAAAAACATCATTCCCTTGAAATATTTATGAAGGTTGTAAAAATGTGCAAACTTCGAACGCACAAAAATAAGCACTAAATCTTAACGTGCAAGATATGAATGTCAGCAAGTCTTGGGAATAGGAGCCTATGTAAACAACTCTTGGGAATTGGTGCCCCATAGGTGCCCATGAAAAATTTTCTCAGTAGTTTTTTAAACTTTTTTAAGATTATCAAAGCTTACGTAGTGTTTAATACATTTATATATATATATATATATATATAACGTGTTTATTATACACACACACACACATATGTGTATGTGT